CACATCTGAGCTGCTGACGTCATTTCGTGTTTCAAGTGGTCTAAGAAGCATGTTTCCGTGGGGATCAACCTGTGTCAAGGAAGGAATGTGGATTAGACAAGTTCCTCAGCCAGCCCAAGGTGTTTCCCAGATGGACCTTCTGGCTCTACTACTGAAACACTCCTGCAGTGACAGTCGTGTCTGGTACAGCATTCACAAAAGTGAAAAGATACTGAATGCACTTTCCTGACTAGTGTGAAATTAGCTAATAAACATCTAAGTACCTTCCATCCTGACCTGGTTTCTTGGTCTGGGACCTTGTAATTCGGTTAGTTATCTCATCCTCTGTGAGGATTTTATCTAATTTTATCTTTAGCTTGGGTCACGGTCTTTATGAAATTCTGATTTGTAATGTCTGGTGACTGGACACTTGAAGGTTTCATGTACACAAGGTGAAAAGAAAATGTTACTGTTTAAACAATTTTATACAGATTTATTGCTGAAGGTTAGTTTTAAAGAGTTCTGTAACAATGGGTTTATGATATGAAGAGCATGAAGGTACAGTTATGTAAAATGTTCATGATGAAAATTGATTTTGGAAATCATAGCATATCATTAACTTGTTCATGTGCCTTGTCATAATCCATTTTACTCAATGAAACCCTACATTCAGTTGCATTTTTATGTGTTAGTACCAGAAGCAGTTGTTTCAAATATGTTTGTCACTTTATTTGTGCTGTTATTTAGTCAGAGCACTGTTTTAAGTACCTATGCAAAGAACTGGAAACTGCAACTACTATGTACATCTGGCACAATATTTTATATATATATTTATATAAAATATTTTTGTGTTATGTCTTTCTTATGTATAAATATAATTAACCATGAATGGCAACATTGCTACAAAGTGTTTACCTTTTCACAAATCTTTAGTTTTCTACCTGTTTTTGGTAAAACCTCTTTTGAAAATTTTTGGTGTTCCCAGGATGAAGGCTTCTGACTTCTTCATAAAGACTTCCTAGATGTTTCAAATTCACAGATATTTAAACATCCACTATAGCTTGTATGAGGGAAATACACATCAGAACACAGACCTCTTAAATGAAACTTCAAAGACTTCACCTCGGGGCTTGAATACTAAAATTGGTTTCGTTAAGCTGTGGTGTTTGACCTATCCCAAATATATTACAGTTTAGACCATGTCTGTGGATGCCTTTATATCAAGGAATAAAATAGTAATTATAGACAACGTCTGGTGTTATGAAGCACCAGTGATATGCAATGCTTTGTTTGCACTCTGATCTTTACATTTTTAGTAAGACATAGCAGAACTAGGAAGTGATACAATAATCTACAGCAGATTTGAAGTATATTCAAGAAAAATCTCCAAGAAAAACACACAGGGAAACCCAGTCTCTGGGGTTGCCACAGAGGATAGCTGGGAGCCAGAGAAAGCCTTGGTTCCACCTGGCAGTGTGGAAGATGTTCCTTCCCATTGCCAGGAGAAATCTCATGTAGTTACTGCTCACGTCTTTGCACTGTGCCAGATTAAGCACCTGCTAACTGAAAGCAAAGCAGTGAAAGGGCTATTTGTACAAAAGCCACAGGAGATCTGTGGGGTAAAAACGTCTTCTAAATGGAATATAAGTCAGCACAGACAGAAAATGCACTTGTCTGGTTTAGCAACTGATTCTGTATGTGCTGAAAAGAGCATTCAGTGGGAACACCCCAGTTACCACCACTGTTTTGGTGGGAAAAACTCATATATTCTGGGTTAGAGAGGCCAGCTTGTCACAAATGAGCATGCTGTTTTCAAATATTTACTTGAGATATAGACTACCCAGTTTATACTTTTTAGGTCAAGCCTTCAAATTTAAGCAGAAGGAAGATTTAAACTGGGGTTTCCTGCTTTCCAGAGGACTACCATAACCATGGGACTATTCATTACTCCAAAGATCTGACATTTTTTTTCAGTGGAAAAAATAATGATCTCAGAGTTGTCTCTGTGTAGAAAGAGATATTTTTTTTTAATACTCAGAAGTTTTGATAGTCAACCTTTTCGTCCCAGTTTTATGAAATAGCTCTTTGAACTGTCTTTGGTTACATAAGCTAATGTGTAAGCTAATTGAATTTAGTCTTATAATAGTAGTAAGAGTAATGCAAGCATCATTAAGCAGTTATTATGACTTTTCTTTTGACAAGACATCTCTTAACAGCCTACAACTTGAAGTGATTCACAGGGATGTTTCTTAAACTAATATACCCTGACAGTTTATTATGAGGCAAGTAGCACATGAATTCCTACTCTAAGTGTTCTGAATGAACCTGTTATTTTTAGAATAAGTTTCATTTAAACCATTTTAGGTGAGGTGATTTGTATATATCATGAAACAATTCGGTCTTTGAATTGAAGTCTTAGAAATTCACAGCAAAACGCCTTACACTGATCTTGACTAAATTAGCTCAGGGAAGTATAAAGTCTCTTCTTATGTACCTGGTCAAATTCTCTGTGTAATGTGAAGCTTGTGGGAAGCAGTTTCCCACATAATTAAAAACCCTTTCAGTATATCTTGAAGTTCACTTCAAAATATTCTTAAACTTGTACAGCTGAGATTTTGTTACTGAAGCTTAGTAATTCTACAAATTCCTGCAGGAATCTGGAAAATGTACAACTTGTTAAGGGATCCCCAAAAGAGTCTTGTTATTAGTTTTGTCTGTTTTTATTTTTTGAATGAATTAACAACAAATATATGCACAGTAAATGCTGTAAATTTTCTGTCTTAAAATCTTTTCTCCCTTACTTAATACAAGGTTACTGAGGCCTTTCTCTTGGCCCTGCGCTGGAGGAAGCCTGTGCATCAGAACCAGAGAGCAGCCTTTAACTCATTCCAACCCATGCCTCACCGATGAGGCTCTTTCCCCACATCAGGTAGGTACTGCAGTTGTACAATCTTTGACATATTTGCATGAGATGGCATGACAAAAAATCGGCGTGGAAGAGACAAGGCTCTGTCCACTGAGTTTTCTGACCCAGTAGCTGTCTGGCTGCTTGCTTAGGAGTAGAGTATCTCAGTCCCCTGCTTATGGAGGAAGGATGAACCTAGAGTACTTTTTCCTTGCTCAGATATGATACATTTTTTCTTTCAAATACCACCCTGTTGCTCTTTAACTGGAATGCCCTAAATTTTGTTACATAAACTGACCATGGCTCAGATGAAAACAAGATTTCTTGCTTAACAGATGTTTTGAGCCTAAATGTGTGTTTGCATGAACACTTTGGTTTGTACAATGCATAAATCTTGCCTAAAGTTGTAGAAAGCCAAAGAACTGATTTTTTTTTGGTCTTTTGAACATATAATGAAGAATATGTGAGGAACATGTTAAAGGATCTAAAGCTGATGCTGTGTTAGTCATCTGGTGTAATTATCGAAGTTTATGTATTCTTCAGGTGAAAGTATGGTGGTGCTTCTTGTAAGAACATTCTTATCTGTATTGAGAGTGTATCTAAATTGAGGATATAAATTTTTAATTTTCCTTCTGCAGTGGAACTACGTAAAACCTAAATCAGCACAGGTACCTATATATGAATTTTCTTAAGTGTATGATGTGTGCTGAGGAAACATCATAAAAAAAAAGTAATAATTTTTCTTGTATGTTTACTTAGAAAATGAGTTTTCTGCTTAGGGCCATCAAATTATATTTTAAGTGTAAAACAGTAAAGTAATAAAAAGAAAACCACCCAAAACAACAGTCCTGTGTTGACCACATAAAAAATACTCAGTCAGCTCTAGGAGAAGAATAGCATATTGGCATTCCTTGAAAAAGAATGGGTCTCAAATGTTAAAGGCTGTCTGGAATGAGTTTTTACCTACCTATTTTTTTACCTTAACTGTTGGGAGATAAAAGGTAAGAACTTCTGTTTTATCTCAATACAAACCCATCTTCCTCTTAAGATGAAAGATTCAGGGCCGTGTTACTCATACAAGCTGTCTTGTTGGAACAAATGCAGTAGTGTTATCACAATCTGATCTGCAAAGAAACAGGTTACGCTCAGCAGGGCTATACTTAGGTGGGGATTTACTTGATGTTTGAGCTAGTTGTGTGGTTATTTATTCCCCTTTTTTTTCTCCTTCCAGTAGCCACTCTATTGGAGAATCATGGTTTCTTCAGAACCTGTGGCTGGCCTTTGGCTTTCTATTCTGGGTGCTTTGTGGTTCACAGAAGGTTTGAAAGGAAGGTGTGATGCTGTGCGGACTCAAGGAGCGAGGGACCATCTATCACTTGCCTTGTGTTGTCATTTATGAACCTTATGATGGCTCAGCCCCTTCCCCATTCACAGTATGATTGCATTCTACCTTTTTCTCATATTTAAGAGAAATTTTCTCTGTAACATTCACACTATCATTGTCTGGGGAAACAGAAGCAGTTGCATGCATGGACTATCAAAATATTTTCTTGCAGGGTGCTTTTGTCCTATTTATCCATAATTACAGTGGTCTCCTCAATGACATCTAGCTTCAATAAATGAGCAAGGACATATAAACAGTCTTTATGCTTTATTCAGAAAAACAGAAATATTGTTTACTACAAATTAATATTTTTTGCATATTAGAAATTAAAATGGCATAAATTGTGAAACTGGAAAGACACTATTTCCACCTTCTTCAGTCTGTAGAGAAAGGAACAGCCACATAGGAAACAGCAGTTCAGTTTCATTGTTCATCTGGTCTTCTCTATACTGTTAATATCGTGGTCAGTTTGTTGAGTGTTGCTCACACATCTAATGCTTTTGTTATCTGGTGAAGGAATTTGAACTCTTTTACTCATGGAAGTTGCATGTCAGATGGGAATGATTAATATCTTCACCTGGCACAAAGAGATGAAGCACTGTTACATATAATCTATTGGTTAGAGGTCCCTGTATGGATAAATGATGTGGGTCATGAGCAGAAGGGAAAAAATTATCCTGTAGCTATATATACTTACAACTGTACTTTTATGCTCCAAAAAAACTTTCCCCTGCTCTGGTACAGACATCATAATACCAGTGAAAAATCTCAAAACATAATGGAGAGGAGCTCAAAGCTGTTTTCACATAACCTTACTGTGTCCCACTTCTTCAGCCATGTACATTCTTCCTGCCAAGGACAGAAATACAACTGTTGGACATCAGCATTTCCATGCTGAGTAAAATGAATGTTAACAAACCTGCACTGTACAGGCAGAAAGCAGTCTGTTCACTTAAAGCACTTTCAGCCTCAAAATGGAATTGCTGTCTCAAGTGTAAGCACTTACAAACCCTGGTACAAAGCATGTATGCCTTCTTTTTCTGTCAGAAAAATGCTGGTGTATGCATGTGGTGCTCTGAAAACTTTCGATTCCGTTCCATTCTGAGTACCAGCCTCAGTTAAATCTTTGCCATGTAACATTTAGACAAAAGCTTTTAGTTATGAGCTAGGGCCTTTTGTTAGTTAAACAAACTCTCCAAATATGTAGGAAAAAGAACTTACCGGCACTCTTATCCTTTACACTTTCTCATCCTTTACTCAGTTCAGTGCACTGGGGCCCGCAGGGACAAGGCTGACCTCTGAAGAAGCATCGATTCCCTCTTCATCCTGAATCCTTGCTGTGCTGCTTCTCACCTAGGCTGGGTTATCTCAGGAGCTGTTGAGGTGGCTGGTCAGTTTGTGAGTTTTGTTGGTTTTTTTCCCTTCCTTATTTGCCATAGAAATGCATAGACAGTGTCTGTGTGCAACAATCCATAAGAGGGTGGCTTATCTCCTCTGCTCTGTGGAAGACAGTACTTTGTGGGACCTTGGAGACTGATGATTGTCTGAACTGATATTGTACCCCCATTGTAATAAAGCATCTCCTACACAAGGGGACAGGAGGCAAATGCGAGTAAGGACTTTTAATGGGCTTATGAGTTCACTGAGGCTGAGAATATGACAGCTTTGTTAATGATGCTTAGCTGTAGTGGTGTGGCTGCTGGGACACCAGACACACAAATTTAGAACTAAATAAGATATCACAGAGTTTCTGAAACACACTTCCTGATATGTATGTGAAATTGCAACCATCCATCAAGAAATGGTCTTACCTGTTAGAGTTTTGTGTGTCAGTCTCATTCTTCCAGCTGAACAGAGGGCTCGAATAAAGTTTTGACCAAATGTTATCACCTCAGGCCACAACAGTACAGAAGTTTATAGGACAGCCTGGGTAAGATCTCGTTAGTACTTGGATGTAATATATTGTAAGAAAAGCAGAGAAAGGAAGAAGATTTTTGGCTCATTAGGATATGTATTTTCCTCTGAGTCAGACTGGGCCAAATACACCTGAGGCTTTGAAGGGTTTATTTCTGAAAAACTGGGAAAAGTTGAAATAGGTTTATGGCAATTTGCAAGTGCTCAGTGATGTATTGCAAAATTAAACTTGTCCCTGTAAAAAAAAAAGTCCATAGTATTACTTCCTAGATCTTTTCTGGCTTATTTTTTTTAAGAGAGGGTAGTTGAGGTCTGCTTGAATTTAGCTGAAGGAAAAATCCTGACATGTGAAAGCTGTTATAAACTAGCAGCGGCATCCTTGTGTTCCTGGAAGCTCTGTCATGTGGGCTTCATTCAGGGCTCACTGAAGCAACAGTCTGTCTTTGCTTTTTATTTTTGATGAAGTTTCTGTGTGTAAAGAGGAACCTTATTATAAACATTTCTTCTGTACCACCCTCTATATCAAAGAAATATACAGCTGAAGTAGTAAATATTTAACTTCCTTGTACCCTTGTATTCCTTCTCTGCTGCAAAGAAATGTGTATCCTGAATACTCATTTGCATTTTATGTGGTTTCTTACTATGTTTCAAATTGAAGATGGAACAGACCATACATTGCTGTATTCTCTTAAAATACAATTTTTCTTTAGGCAATCTTAAATGCTTTTGCACATGTGTTTCGTCTGCATTTATCTCTATCATCATATACATCAACATTGTCACAGTAGAAATAATGATTGAGAAGTTAGCTTGAATGTTTTACCTGGAGTCTATTTGTTTCCAGTCTGCTCTTCTCGCCTGGAGCATGTCCTGCCCTGCCTGCTGTCTTTTTTTGATGTTGAGGTCCTTTCCCAAAGAATATGTAGTTTACAAAGGCATATTCCAGCAAGGCCAGGAACACAAACACAAAGCATCCCATCAGGTAAATATCTATTGCCTTGACATAGGGAATCTTTGGCAAGGTCTCCCTGAGGTGGGTGCTGATGGTGGTCATGGTCAGCACGGTTGTGATTCCTGCAAAAAGAAGAAAAAGACGTTGACTAACAAGACAAGGAAGGAGATTTGAGTGTGAAAGGCATAATGGCAGCATTATATTCCCATACAGATGGCTTAATTATGTGATCAGATTCTTAACAGCCAAGAGAATGCATTTTGCAGGACTGGAAAGGAAGGTATCCTTGCAGGTCCGCTGATAGCACCTTCCTTGGCCTTCCATGCTATGGAGGGTGAATGAAATAACTTTCAATAGCCCAGGCTGTCTTGATACAACTTGCCTTAATTTTTACAATAGCTTGGCTAGGGAACATGGTGTTAGCTGACCTGGATAGCAAAGAGTTGATTGATGTTTTTTCTATGTGAGGAAATGCTTCTCACTTTATTTACATCAGTAGCCTCGCTTGATCCCAGAGGGTGACTTGCATTGATCTGGAGATCTGGAATAAGTATCTAGCTTTTGATTGAAAACAGAGCATTGAAAGGAGAAAAGGAAGGTGGTATATTTCCACTGATGTCAGTAGGATCTTCTGTATACATTTCAATCACGCATCTGGCCTGAGAGGACACTTTTTAACATCTACACGGATTGTTCATGCAGCACAGTGTAGATATCCTTAAATACCTGAATTAGACTTTTGCGCTTCAGTTTGGAAGCAAGACACTTTTGTTCTGATCCAGAGACCATTATGACAACTGGAAATCAGTCAGGATCCCAACTTAACTGCAGAGCAAGAGCTTCAGATATAGACAAGGTGGCACCTACCTGCCTTCCTGACAACAAAGGTCCTACACTGTATATGTAAGATCATAATTAATGATGCTGCAATCAGCAATATGGAATTGGTGTCACTGTATTCAAAGGCAACAAGTATCTATGCAGTTCAGTTATTTTGGGAAGAAGTTACCTAGAGCAACTCTGGCTGCAGAGGCATCATAATTGATCCAAAAAGATACCCATGAAAGAATTGTGATTAGTGTGGAAGGCATATAAGTTTGCAAAATGAAGTATCCAATATTTCTTTTAAGCCGGAAGCTAAGTGATAATCGAGGATATGCTCCTGAAAGAAAGAAATCATATAATGAGTAATGCCAAACAAAAGTTAGACACTGATATTTCTGGGTTGGGGAAGAGAGGAGAGGGTTTTTTTAACTAGTCAGTGCTTACCTGTTGTAAATTCCACTCTCTTTGATACCATCTTGTAATCAACGATAGAAAATTGCGGGAGCTCAATGTTATTAACTCCTGTTACTGCCGACTCTCCTCCATTCCAGTAAAATTCAATATCATCAGTAGTGTATCCATCTGAAACAGAGGCAAAATTTGGTTATTGACTTTTCTTTTTGTTTTACTATTTTGCTTAAATAGTTGAGGTTCAAGTGGAAGGAGCTGTCGTTAACCACAAATTCAGCCTTCTGTTGTGTGACATTCCTGTTATACAGAAGCCTTGTAGCCTCCTCCATGCCCTGGGGAAGCATCTAGGTGTAAAAAGGGAGAAGACAGAAAACCAGGACAGAATTTAAGATTAAAGATAATTTTTTAGCTAGCGAAAATGCAACAATTTTCCGTTCAGGCTTGAGTTGCTCAGTTTGCCAATAGACTGATACAATATCAACAAAACTTTTAAACTCTTTTTGGAGGAGCTCTGACAGTAAAACCAGCTTCAGTTCCCAGCTTTTCATTTGATTTCCTGTGTAGGCTGTGACAAAATACAGAGCTGTGAGCCAGTGGAGGCAAAGATGATTCTAGAAGAATTAAGGTGCCTGTAATATTACCCGACAGTGTCTGTCAGAGCTGAAGGTAACCCTTTGATATTCATGAAGTATTTTATATTTTAATTAGACCATGCCAACTTTGATCTTCTGTTATCACAGAACTATTGCCTTTTTACTTCAAAACTAGCACCTTTCTTCTGTTTCCTTTTAGCAGTGATGTTGATTATTTCTAATTTAATTAAAAATTAATTTGCCATTCTACCACTGGGAATGTTAACATTATTGTTATAATTTTCAGAAATAGTTTGATTGAACTAAAAACTGAGTGAATTTCAAAAAAATCTCAAATTGACAATATTTTTGAACTAATATTTAAACAGGTTCCACTTTACTGCATTTTTCTAATTTCTCCCTGTATCTACCAAAGGAGAGAACAACTTCTCATCTATTTTTAAACTTTTCCTTCAAGCGTTAGATTTAATCAGGTTTAATCATATAACAGAGATCAAATAAAAACATGTGTTTGAACTCAAAGCTTTAGAAAACTTGACATTAGTTTTGCCAGCTGAACTAACCATAGCATCAGAAGCCTCTACAAAAGTAGGAACTTATCCTTTCATATACACCAGTAATACAATATCTAGCTAGGGAAATTAGTCTTGAGATATCTTTCCCTATGATGGTGCTTGGTAATAGCCTCATCTCTGGAAGGCTGGCCACATACAGAACAGGTTCAGGGTTTCCCTGGTGACAATCAGAGAAGCTCTCAGAACTTGCTGGCAGGCTCCAGAGACTACTTGGAAAGCCTGTAGTTATTGAATAGCTATCTTTTGATGCAAACACACAGTGATGGGCTGAACAAGGTTAAATGTTCACATATTTTATTTGTGAACTGTTCAGAACCATAGTTTTCTAACTATAGGAATTGCTCCAAAACCCATGCTAATCTATGTAATATGGATCACTGCTGTTCGCTTAAAATGGTGCTTTTCATTACTTAGGCTAATTTTTTTTTTAAATGAACCATCTCAAGGCTGTGACATAGAGCTCTGTATGGCTGGTTTCCATTCCTTTTCACTGCAAAAGGTCAAAGTAGCTCCTTACTAATGGGACTTCAGTAGCTGCTTTAAAGGCTTCATACACAAACCACAGAACCAACATGAGCCCAATGTAGGGTGTAATACAGAATAATTGAAAGAGGGAATGAAGACTGCTAAAACTGTTTAAAAGGCCAAGACCAAGATTGGCAAGGAAGTGTTAACTTCATTTTCTTGCAAGTCTGTATTATAAAAAAAATTCTCTTGAATGATTTCCCTTTTCAGAAAAGATGGTGTCAAACAGAGGAAATTGGAACTGTCATCTCATACTGAAAAAGTATGTGTGGGCTTGGTACTACACAGATATCCTCTATATGAGGTAATACTCATCCTTTGTCTTTAGGGCACAGAATAAAGAACAAAATTGACATCACTACTTAGATGTTGCACAGGTACTTGCTGTAAAGTCACAGGTGAAGATTTAAGTGTGAGAATCCTGAATTCTACCTCAGGGTTTGGAAGAAAATGATGACCCTGATTCTTCTGTTCTGTGCCATCAGCACCTAAGGCCCATTTCACACCCTACCCTTCAAATCTGCTCCCATTGTGCCACTTAGTGCTGGGACCCAGGGTAGAGAGGGGAGCTGTCTCCAATCCTCAGCAACTCCTGGCTTTATATGCATCCTCTACAGGGAACCTCCGGCATCCTCTGCCGTTCCTCTGACTTTTTGATGAAAGAGGGAATAGTTTGGGCACCTCATTGCAGCTAAAATTCCCTTTTCCAAAGGTGAATTATTGTAGATATAGTTGTTAAAACCCACAGTGGTACCAAATAAACACCTGGGATATCACAGGTCAGATTTCAAAAAGAAAACAAGCACAATCTCCTACAAAAGGATTGCACCATGTTATTGGTACACTGTGTGATGATGCTGGATCTTAACAAAAAGGAATTACGTGAGTTCTGTAATGTAGACAAATGTGCTTTTCACTAGTCTTGGAAAGATTTCTATGACTTTGGCTACTAAATGAAAAGTAAAACTAGCAGGTTATAAAGTCAGTTGACCAAAAGCAAGAACCGTGGAAGATACCAGCTGGCGACAAGCCATCACTGCTTGGCCATGACAGACCATGTTTTTAACCTTTACAAACTTCAAAGAGACTTCTAAATATATCAAACAATGGATCTAGTGTAAGCTACTGCTGTTTCTAAATATACTGATTTCTTCCTTGAATTTGTGCATTTAAAGCTGAAGGAAATTATGAAAAAGGGATAGTGATGTTTTTCAGTCAGGAGCATTCACATTTGTTAGCTATCTTTTTAGAAGAGTAATTGAGCAGGAACGTCTTCCTGTGGTTTTATGTAGAGTGAACCTCAGTACATTCATTATTTCCTTGGCAGTCATTGTAATAACTCTACTAGACACTAAGAAGGTGTAAACTCTCCCTGGGCAGTCCATTCCCTGGCATGATAGGATTGTTGCTGTGTGATGCCCTTCATTATGTGTTTTGCACAGTGTGTAGGTGTATGAGAGGCATTGCATTCCTGGCTGATGGTGACTCACAGGTGCAGGACTTGGAGGCCCTCATGTTCTATAGGCGTTGACATGGCTATTTTCTTTCCAAATTAGCAAACTTGAGAGGAAGACGGTTGGCTGCAGTTTAAAGACAAGAATTGATCTCAGCTCTGAACAGAGTTAGCAGAGGACAGATCACTCCTTCCTTTTGAAGTGGAGAGTGCCTTTAAGAGAGGAGCTGTAGTGACGTAAATTAAGAAACCTTCAAGTGTGGAGCAGCACTGACTTCTGACTAGCAGGTAATGACAAACCCTCATTTTGGGCAGCAAATTCCTTGGCTTTTACAGTGGAAGAAAAGCTATTTCAATGACAGGAAAAGTGTGTTTTGCCTGTACAGTGGCCAGTGTAGATGCTGATTTGTTCACTGAACTTATCTGTACTGCCCAGGTACTCCCTCGGCAGCTCTTTTTCCATGTAATCCTTTTCCCTCTGTGCATGTATCCATGTCACCAATTTAAAGGGATGCCTCTGCTTTTGTGACAGAGAGAGCAGCACTCTCAACTGGACAAGGATATGCGAACACAGATATCACAAGAGTGAGATATAGCGACCCGAAATATTTCAATTATGTGCACAACAGCTGTCAAAGAGCAGTTGCAACTCTAACTGCAGAAGTCCAGTACTATTTCCCCCCTCGTGTGAGAGCACGGTACTGACGAAGAGCATCGAGCCGGCCGGGTACCGCTCCCGGCGGACTCGCGGGGGCGCCCGCGCTCCGCGGTCGGGCGGTGTCGCTGCGCGGCTCCTGCGGGACCCGCCGGCCCGGGCGCGGAGGGTGAGCCGCGATTTGAACACATCGGCTCAGTATTTCTAGAGCAAACATGGCCTGATTTCTGGGCCGACATCCCTGGCAGTCTAGCTCACTTCATCAAACAGTTTTCCCAGCAATTTTGCGTCTGATTTTGTTGACCTAAATAATAAATGACCAATAAATTTATTTTTTTTAATTAATAAATGTCCCATGAAAAATATTTGATCTATTTAAGCCTTTTTGTGTGAGATTGTTTTCCGTTTTTAAAACCATTAAAAAATATTTCATGGCCCAGCTCAAGATATGAAACTTCTGCTTACTAGAAAATACTGTCCAGAAATGAAAATACAGCCCTTGATGTACCAACACTTTTTTTTTTTTTTTTTTTTTTAACTTCTAGAACAGCAGCTAAGACTTCAAGTGAGAACACTTGGTCAGAAGCACCACAGATCTAAAAAGTGTCTAGATACACACACAGCAAGAAATAGATTATGTATAAATCTTGCTGTTCACAGAAAAAATATTTTGGAAATGTTGCTGACATTGTGATATAGCCGAGGTTAACAGTGCATTGGATGTCACTAGGCTGTTTTATCTTCCACTGCAGCACCTACCATCTTAAATACCTCTGGGATAAATAAGGATCTGTGTTACTTTAGCAAATTAAAGTCATGGTTCCACTATCTTTACCAATTCAACAGAGATGTCCCTTTTTCCTTCTTACTCTCCAGGGTAGGTAGCTCTGAAACACCCAGAAGCACGTTTTCGTCTTAGGATCTGTGTCTAAATAGGGTTTTTCAAAAGTCTGCATCAATTGTGTGTGACCCAAATCTTTTGGTCCTGTGTAAGGACATGAGGCTGGAACCCAACCCTCTTCCATCCCTCCTGGACCATGCCTTTTGTAACAATTTAGTCTTTGTTGCTAAATGTAGTCTTATGTTTTTCTTGTTATTATTCCTATGACTGTATTCAAACAGGAAGATAATGCATTTCTCCCACACACCACTGAGGTGGTCCATACAGTGGTAAATGTATTGTACTATTTCAACTTAAACCTGACATGTGAATGGAGCATCACAGATCTGAAGATGTGTTTTGTAACTGTAACTAGTTAACATTAAGGTGAAAGAATTGTTTGAAAAGACTTCCCGCCACCTGTGTTTGAGCGTGTATTTCCGTCTTTTAGTTACCTTTTTTTCACTGAGAAATATTTTCTATAGGCAGA